GGAGGCAGGAACGGCCGGCGCAGGGGAGGGCGTCACCGCGCATGCGCGCGCGGTCCAACGGGGCGCGGAACGTCAGTGCGCGAGCGCGGGAGGCGCCCCGCGGACGGATGGCGCCCCGTGCGCGTCCTCTGCGTCCTTGCGCGTTTGCCAGCGCCTGGCTGCCCGGCGCCTCCAAGGTCCAGTGTTGCGCGGGGCCCGGAAGCCCGCGGACGTGTCACGATGAGCCTGACCCAGAACCTGCGGGAGGTGATGAAGGCCATCAGCGGGGTCCCCGGTTTTGACAAAGTTTTGGAAAAGGTATTGGAGGCGTAGCCGCGGGTGGTGATGCCGGGAGACGGGCACCGCGCTCATCTCGCCCGGTCCTGTCGCTGCGCCCGCAGCTCAGCGTTGCGATCGCGGTGCCTTAATGGAGCGCCGTTGGGCGCCAGGACAAGGGCGCAGGGGAGCTCATGTGATGGTTCGTGACTGAGTATGGTTGTCGCTCGTGGAGACGGCACTGCGCGGCCTCAGAGCCGGAAAGGACGGTTGCGCGACCCTTCCGGGCGGCCCGCGGCGCCGGAGGCGGTGGACAGCGCATTCCGGGCGCTCCCGCAGCCCGCGGGCATCGGTGCCAGGAGCTGCGGCGAGGCAGCAAACGGGTGCTAAGCGGAGGGTTTGCACCTAAAATGAGCTTATTGCATAACTTTATTAACTCTAGTAACTCCTTGAATTACGGAATTTCTTCGTTTGTTTTTAAAATTGTTTTAAACCATTGGTTACTAAGTAATTTTAAAAATGACCCTGTGCAAAATCTAGGGAACATCCAAATTCAACCTATAATGGACTAGCAGATCCCAGGGGCCAGCTGGCTTCGTTGGTGAATTTCCCAGGAGACAGTAAGAGGTGCCAGGCCGCTGTGCATAACACAGAATGTTGCATTTCTGCCAGGAGTGGAAACTAGCAAAGACTACTATTGTTTTTCCCTGTATGTTCCTTTTTCTTTAAAGTTTCCATAAGGGTTAACTTCTGTCCGAGAGAGATGGGTAAGATTGACTTTCTGGGTCGCCTTTTCTAGGGTGACTCAGGGTAGTCCAGGCCCCACAGGGTGCTCACCATCCTTTCCTTCCGCATCCAGGTGACGCTGGTCTCGGCGGCTCCTGGGAAGGTGACCTGTGAGCTGAGAGTGGAGGAGGAGCACACCAACAAGCTGGGCACGCTCCACGGGGGGCTGACGGCCACACTGGTGGACAGCATCTCGACCATGGCTCTGCTCTGCACGGAGAGGGCCCTGCCGGGCGTCAGCGTGGACATGAACATCACGTAGGTAGCCGCGCTGCACTGACTGGAGATTTGCCCTACAGTGTTCTCGGCCTCGAGTCTAGAAGTAAAGGAACTAGTTTCCAGGGCCAGTGTGTACCAGTAGGAAAGGAAGGGACCTAAACATTGGAAAAAGCAGCCCTAGCAGGTTTGGCTCAGTGGATAGTGTCGGACCACAGACTGAGGGTTCTGGGTTCGATTCCTGTCTAGGGCATTTACCGCCATTGTAGGCTCAATCCCTGGGCCGTTTTGGGGGGAGCCAATAGATGTGTCTCTCCCTCTCCCTTCCACTCTCTCTAAAAAACAAAGGAAAATACCCTTGGGTGAGATTAACAACAAAATTTTTGAAAAAGCGAACATTCGGCCCCTAACACAGATGCTGGTGGGAAAATCACCAGACTCATGGCTTCTGTTTCCCAGTCCTGACGCGTGTTCAGGACACGTACAGGTTGAAGGGAATGCAAAGAAAAAACGGAGAAACCTCCATAGAGACACCTCTCCTTGTGACAAGGTGACCACAGATAGGGTGTCTCCGAGGCGCACAGACAGGCTCTGCAGGTTTGCCTGCCCAGTGTGGGAGCAGCACCCCGAGGGCAGGCTGCCACTCCCTGGAGAGCATGCCTGCAGGGGTCACACGTTCCCAAACGTACCCGACTCTAGCGACTCAGCTCCAGCGCTAACCAGCAGGGCTGCCCCGTCCTGTCCAATGGAAGTGCAGGGGCCAAGGGTGGAGTTTCCAGACAATTGCTTTTGCCTCCAAACTAACATGATTTTTTCCCCAGGGGACTGGCAAGGGTTAGTGTGGGAAAGCCAGTGTTACGGGACATGAGGGCGATGGAAATGCAGTTACTAGGCGTGTAAGCAATCCAAAGTGTTTTTATCAGGCTGGCGCGGCATTCTTTTCACTGGAAAGAACCTAACGTGAGGGTGCAATAAGCGGATCCAGGGTGAGAGGCACGTGTTCTTTTGAGATGAAGATGACGGAGATGTCTGCCTGTCGTGCCGATGGCTCTGCCTTCAGAGTCTGGAGCAGAGGCCTTGTTCCAGCTCTGCTGGGCACAGTCTTCTACCATCAGACAAGGCCGCTTTCACAACCATGGCGAGTTTCTAGTGAGACGGTCTTGGCCTTTCAGAGTCTATGTTGACAAAAGTTTTGGCCTGAGCTTCAAATACTGGCGACTTCCTGCCCCCCTGGCACAGCTCAGTGGTTGAGCGTCGACCTATGAACCAGGTTATGGTTCGGTTCACATGCCTGGGTTGCAGGCTCGCTCCCCAGTGGGGGCAGTGCAGGAGGCAGCTGATCAATGATTCTTTAATCATTCATGTTTCTCTCTCCCCCCGTCTCCCTTCCTCTGAAATCAATAAAAACATTTTTTTAAGTGAGTCCCTTGAACAGAAACTAGGACATAGTCTCGAAGATACACTATAGATATTTCAAAAATAAATGAATGACAATTTGTGAGTACAGGTGGGTTGGAAGTGTCTCTTAAAATATGTACACACAATTCATCACCAGGGCTGTAAGGGCCTTGTATTAATTCTAGCCCTTATATCGTCATCTTAGAGTTGAATAAATACTTAACATCAACATGACACGACACAGACACCAAGTGATACTTCACTCAGCACGTTCTGCAGACACCTTCCACCAGCTCCCAGTCCATGTGAAGTGGGAAACAATGAAAAAGGGGCAGTGGAGGCAAAGACCCTTCCTCTCTTTATGGGAAAAGAAGGCAGTGTGGGTGAGGACCACCACTCACATCGAAGGACAGGAGGTTCTCTGGCACGGCTACTTTCCTCCTAGAAATAGTTCCGCACAGGAAGGCTCTTCTGCGTGCGCACGGCTTTCCCTTTAAGAACTGCTGTTAACTGTGTGTCGCTTCCTTTCCAGGTACATGTCGCCGGCGAAAATAGGCGAAGTGGTGGTGATCACAGCACAGATCCTCAAGCAAGGGCGGACGCTGGCCTTTGCCTCCGTGGACCTGACCAACAAGACGACCGGGAAGCTGGTCGCTCAGGGCAGGCACACCAAGCACCTGGGGAGCTGAGGACAAAGGCCTCCCCCAAGGCGGGGGTCGAGTGGGGCGACTTCATGTACCTCCCTAATAAACCAGCACAACCAGCAGCAGCCGAGAAATAGTGTTTTCAGGGGAAAGAACAGAGACCCTGTGGGACAGTGGGTGGCTCCTTTTTTCCCCTTAAATCATAAGCCTCTTCAGTGTTAGCCTGTAACTGTATGTATGCTACTGGGATGAAAAATTCTTAGCTGTGTTTTGAAAATGTAGGCAAAGAAACGAACAGGGCCACTTTGAGATAGGATTACCTTAAAACTGACTTCTAATATTAAGCTAAAGGAGAAACAGAAATTAATGGTTAATCCTTTTCAGCTTTAAAATGCCGTCTTACATTTCATTTTTTAATTCCAGTTTCGAGATTATGGAATTTCAGCCCTGCCCGGTAGCTCATTTAGTTAGAGCATCGTTTCAACATGCCAAGGTTGTGGGTTCGATTCCGGTCAGGGCACATACAAGAATCAGCCAATGAAAGCATAAGTGAGTGGGACCAGTCAGCTTCTCCCTTCCTCTCGCTCTAAAAATAAAGATTATGGAACTTCAAAGCAGATTGAGTGATGAGGCCTAGACTAGTACCCAAGAGAGCTGGAGGCAGAGCACAGATGATACAAGAGCGCGGTGTGCTGCCCGTCCGATGACATGTCACGGGACTGGCTTAGTTCCCACTGGGGATGGGCATCCGTTAGCCACTTTTCTGGTGCCTAGAATAAAACCCTGCAGGTTTCCAATCTCCCAGACTGCACCGCATCAAAAGACCAAGTTCACAAACGGCTCAGTCCATCCTGCAGTCCTACTGCCTATGCCATGCTTAGCATTTAGACTAGATGTTGAGACATGGAGCCAAACGGCTTAAGGAGGTTACTCATCAGTAACCGACGGAGGGCTCTTCCTGGCCACAGACGGCTGGCCCGTGTGAAGGGAGACTATACGGAATCACTCCCCACGGCCATGGCGGTCAGGGCAGGTTATGGCAAAAGGCGCCCGCACCCTCCTGAGGAGCAGAAACAGGACACCACCTCGGACCTCAGAACCCCCATCAGCTCGGCCAGCTGGCAGCCTCTGGGAAGGGTGTAAAGTCACTGGCCAGAATGCAAAAGCCACACCTCGCCAGGAAGAAACTTCACCAGATCAAGATGAGAAACTGTCCTTAAAAACTGGCCTGTACTCGCCTGGCCAGGTGGATTCCATCAGGGCACATGCCCTGGGGACCTGCAGGAGGCCGCCAATGATTTTCACGTTTCTCTCCCTCTCTGTCATCAATAAGAGAAAAATAAATTTTTAAAAAGTTGACCTGTATTCGTCAGCAATGCCAAGGTTGGTTACGGTTGAGGACCTGTCCCAGTCAAAGGTGACCAAAGACCTAACAGCCCAATGCATCGAGCCTGGACTGCAGGGGGTTAAACACACCACCAAGGGCATCCTTAGGACAAGGGCCGAAGATGGCACATTCAGGTGTCACCGTCACACTCCTGAGCTTCATCACTTTCCTGGGGGACCTACGCCTAAGCCCTGAGGAGGAAGAAACCAAGATGCACCATGAGGCGCCACCAGACTCAAAGGTTCAAGTACATGTGAAGTTATGCAGAAAGACAACAAACAAATGTGGCAAAAGTCAGACTGCATGTGGGTAAAGGGCACACGGGAGCTTTCTGCAAAAGTTACTCTTGTAACTTTTCACAATCTATTCTACATAATAAAAGCCTAACATGCAAACTGTCCCCACGACCTACAGATCCCTATGACATGACCGCTCCCTATGATGTGCGCTGACCACTAGGGGGCGGTGTGGCGCTGGCAGTGGAGGGTGGGTGGCAATGGAGGCGCTGCTGGCCCCAATGACAGCGGGACCAAGCAGGTGAGTGGGCAGCACCAGGCCACGATGGGTGCAATTGGGGCCGATTGCCACAGACAGCAAACCTCACAGCTCCCAGGCCCTGAGGGAACCAGGCGGGGCCCAATGACTTAGGTAGCAGGGGCGCTTGGGGGCCCAGGTGCTGCCCAGGGCCCAGAGGTCAGCTGGACCTGCCCTTCCACGCCAGACACTCGTGCTTCGACCTCGACCGCCAGCCAGGCCTAGGGACTGCACTCATGCACCGGGCCTCTAGTTCTAAAAAACGTAAAACCAATGGCTGCTGAAATGTAGAACTCGTTGAATATTAGCTAACAAGTGTAATTCATTAGAGTAAGACAGTTGGGAGCTTGGGCTCTCTGGAACCAGGCAGCTGGTTAAACCCTCCATACTCACCATGTGAGCTTGGGCAAGCGTCCACTTGTCCACGCAGGGCTGTCAGAGACTTAAGGGCAAGAGCCTGGAACAGTGCCTGCCCATGGCAAACACAGCGTCATTTCATGATTACTATTCTTGCTGAAATTACAAACCCAGTGGCTGGGTTTTTTCTTCTGAATTTGCTCTGTAGCTGGGGACTGTAACCCTCATGGTCATCAGTAATGCCTTCCCAGAGCCCAGGAAAAAAAGTTACCACTTCACGTGTGTGTATTACCTGAACAGTCAGGGAACTTCACCTATTTTATTTAGGTTTTCATTTTTTCAAATTCCAACCCAAAGCTAAATACAATTGGAAACCAGTAAGCACTGTTTGTTCCAAAGGAGTAGGATCATTCAGATTTACTCCAGTAAAGTATGCAACCCTTAAGCAAAGCTTTTCTTCATTTAAAAGAAACAAAACAAAACAAAACAAAAAGCTATACAGTAGTCTTTCCTGTTCATTGCACAAGATGAGTTCTGCTTTTGTAACGTTGACACTCGGTGGCTTTTACAATTTAAGATTTTAACTTCAATAACTTTTTCCTACTCCCAAAAAACCCTTTGTAAGTTTTTCTTAAGGATGGTGTAGAAACCAGTATTTCTGCACAATTCACTGGAATTTTTTTCTTTGTAATAAAAATCTCCTCTTTAAAACCAGAAAAGAAAACGAAAACCAAAAGGCAAGTCCTCTACCTATCCTGGCTTCTGTAGCTACGAGCGAATCGGGTTGACAGCTGCGTTAGCCACTCGAGGCTCCAGATCTGCTTTCCTGTGTCTGACTGTGTCCACACAGAACACTTTGTAACAGCAGCCCGGAAAGCGATCTGGAAATAAAACACACATTTATGAGTACCAGGAAGCAAACATGGCCCAGCAAAATAGGAGGCAAGAATGCCTACAAGTGAGATGCTTTTTTCATTTAAGGTTTCTTTCCTGTGGTTGTGTTTTTTTAAACAACCACTTCTGGTTATTAGAACGAATCTGACGGTGCTCAGGATCAACGGTGATTAGAGCAAAGCTATGAAGTTTTTCAAATGTTATTTATACCTGTTACATTCCCTTCTCACCCTCTAAATACTGATGACAGATGCCAGAGAGGCAAAACCAGCACCAATGGAAGACCATCAACCATGGTATCACCTGGTGCCTTCAGACACATCGGCATTTCAGTGTACATAGTCCTTCACTTCACATTTTAAGATGCTGACGCAGTGCAGCAAAGATGCCAAGCATCCTCTCACACAGTCTGTGCAGAAGACATTGAATTTGTTAAGTTCTGAGATACAAATGATTAAAAAAAAAATCCAGGATGAACAAGTTTCAAAATGCATAGTGTTCTGTGCATGAGTCCATTTTCTTTAAACTCTAGAATAAAGTGGTAAGAAAACAAGAAAAAATTGCCGCTGCATCTGATCGTCTCCACTTGCTGGTCAGCACTCTATTCGGGCAAGTAAGGGTGCAGGTGATCCTCCACGGTGCCAACCGCCCAGTGGGTGAGCTGTTCCTGTGGCAGGTAGAGGCAGATGCTGCATAACTTGAAGATTGTAGCTTTGTTTTTTGGAGTCTGAAAGGGAAAAGTTTTAATATTCTTAATAAATAAGACTTCAACGTAAGTGCTCGATTGCTACAGGAGGTCGATCTCCCTAATTGATTAAGCACTTATGGACACGGCGACAAAGCACAGAGTGATGGTTCCTAGCCATAGACAGGGACCCTGGGCGTTCAGAGCTTTGCCACAGGAAATACAGGAAAACAGGACGTGTGACGACAAAGAAACGTTGGAAGGATGTAGGCAGACTCAAAGAGAGATCAGCCGTAGACTAGTCGCTGAAAGTAATCGGGGTTAAAGGCATTTCATGGAGACAGATTTGAAGAGAGCTGAGTCATGCTTGCATACAGAAAGACAGCAGACGTGGTGAGAGTAGAAGCCAGGGGGGAACAGAAATGGTAAAAAATAAAAGATCTAAGCGCGAGCACATATAGAGAAAAGAACCAGAAAAAAAGCCAGCGTTACCAACCAGATCCACGAAACTCTAAGAACTACATTTAAAAAGTTGGATTTAACCATCTAACTTGGGGCAAGTGTGCTAGGTGCTGTCACACAGCCGCCAGATGAATCAACCAGACCTGCCTCAGAGCTCACCTTCCTGTCACTGTAGCTCCTCTAACAAGGGCAGAAGAGAAAACAGGTGGCTTTCCTGATTCCTGGCGTCCGTATGTATGAGGTTGATATTTAAAGTGAAAAAATGTGCCAGGCCCTGGCTGGGTAGCTCAGTTGTCTAGAGTGTTGTCCTCATACACCAAGGTTGCGGGCACTTACAAGAATCAACCAATGCAAGCATGAAGTGGAACACATAGATGTTTCCCCTCGCCCCCTCCTCTATCCCTCTCAAATCAATACATGAGAATTTAAAAAATAAAAAAAATAACTTTTTAAAAGCACCCCCGCCTGGCCCTTGCCAGGTAGCTCAGTTGGTTAGAGCATCATCCCAATACTCCCTGGTTGCAGGTTTGATCCCTGATCAGGGCACACACAGGAATCAATCAGTGGGTGCATAAGTGGAACAACAACAACAAAGTCGTATTTCTCTTGCTCTCCCTTCCTCATGCAAAAGCAATTAAAAACAAAAACAAAAAACCCCACCCCAGCCAGTTCTAATATGCAGCCAAGTCTGGGGACCAATGTTCAGGGTGAGGCCCAGGAGATCGGCTTCTGTTCTTTAAATAACTTCAAAAACAATGCAGTGATGAAGGGGCAAACAGATCAAGTCACTCGCACAGGAAGCAGTGTGATAATCAGTGAAGGGTTGGAAACAGCCCTGTTTGGTCCGTGCCCACCTGCAAGTGCTGCCTGTCAATGAAGAGAAACACGGACTGGTTCGGATTGTTGACAACAATTCCAGTCTTGTCCTTGCGGCTCAGTACATGCAGAAACTGTTTTTCATAGTCACCGTGATGAAACTCAAATTTAGCCTAATTAAAAAGCACAAACACATGTATGTAACCATACCACAATCATGTTACACGACGTGACACATACATACAGTTGTGCTATTGTACATGCTAGCTGACACGGCTACTGAATTAAAACGCAACTTGAAATTCAGTTCTTCAGTAACACTCGCCACATTCCACCAGCTCACTGAGGCAGTGACCAGTCTCTCGAGACACGGAGCATCCTCTTCCCCTCCCAGTGCTGGCGCAGGTCGGTCTGGCACCTACTACTCAGGAGTGTGTGGTGCCAACTGCACCC